ATCACTGTTTGGTGGATTTTTGTTTGAATTTGCTAAATGGCCAACACCAGCTGCTACCCCTGAATGTTTCCAACAATCTGACCAGGTGAGCATGGCACAGAATGAGAGCGATTAGCTAAAAGGGATGGCATGAGCTTTTTGGCTATGTGAGAGATTTGAACCCAGGCCTCTCCGTCACTCTAAACCTATCCTCCTTCCAACTTGTTGGTCTGGACTCCTATCATCCCCGGCACAGCTTTGCCATAGCCCCGCTCATCTAGAGGAGGGGAGGATGGAGAAATGGGGTCTTTTTGGAAATGAACTCCTGTGGGGTTGGGGAAGGGGAAGAGTTCTCTTGCACCCGGTACAGCAGCCTCCCTCCGGTTGCTCATTTTAAAGAATGAGCGTGTGTTGAGGATGCTGGATTTCATCCCATCCATCAGCAGTCAATTCCCTCTGACAGCCCATAAATGCCTAGTGACCTACTTTTCCCAGTTCGTCCTTCGCTAACTCTTTGCAATCCACTTTCCCATCCTCTTCCCTTGGATGGATTACTTCTTTGTCTTTGGGCTTTGCATTGGTACTTATTTTTGTTAAGCGAGCAAATTAAAAACTAGGGGAAGGTTTTGCCTTGAGTTAAAAACTGGAAGGTTTGGATGCGTGCATTTGTATGGTGCATTTTTGAAGGAGCCTTTCTCTTGTTGGAAGAGGTCTGGTTGGTTCTTCTACCAAATCCTACTTTCCCTGGAGCCAATGCAGGATGAGGTTTGAGCATTGGACTATGACTTTGGGGACCAGGGTTCGAATCCCAGCTTGGCTATGGAAACCCAGGACTTGGGAAGCTTGAAGGAATCCCACTAGTTTCTTCTCTCCAAGATGGAGCCTTTAGGTTTGAATCTCTGTTCTTGTAATTTGAATCTATCTATTGGCTCATGTTTTTGCAGAAAGAGTCCATTCAAGGCTCCCTGGCACCAAAATCCTATTTCCAGACGGTTTCCTTGCACCTCTACTTCAGTTTTTTAGGAGACAAAGACTGATGGGATTGTAGGAGTTTGTTGGCCACAAATGTGGGTCTAGTAGCCCACATGTACCAGTGGCTTAGCGCATTCTGGAATGAAGGGACAAGACTGTTGTGCTGGTTTCAAATTAAAACCTTTTTATTGCCCCAAATATTCAAGGGTCGCTGGTGAAATTGTGTCTCAAAACTGCACTTTGACATTGCTTTAACTGCCATGGCTCCATCCTACGGGATCGTGGGGTTTTTTTACTTGTCCCACCGAATATCTCACAAAACCACAGATCCC